GATTAATGTTTAATACATAGAAATATACAGTCACTTGTAATTTTACTTGTCCAGTTTTTCAATGGGATATTATTGTCTAAGTCTAATTGACATAATTATGTTATCTCTTGTTCCCTCTTCTTATGCAAAAAGTTTCTTCTGTCTTCGAGATTCCTTCTTTCTTTAGTACGATGAACAGTTACATATGATGGTACTTCAGGAAATATATTAGGAACTGCATTGCCTTTTAATTTGGGAAATATTAACTTTTCAATGTGTACATTTCCATCTTTATCTTCTCATTGTTTAGTCCGCTGAATATCATCTTCATGAAAATGTTTGGCACATACTACGGAAGATTTGGTAATTGTACAGCCTTCTCTATGAATAGAGCATAACCCAGTATACCTTCTTTGGGGATCTTTGGGAAACAAAAACGTACTTTCTGCCTGTTTCGTTTTTAAAGTACTGGAATAATTGGTTTTGCAACCAGGTACACAACAATGCCAGAGCATCTGTAACAAAAAACAAAAGTATTATTATTGTTGTTTTTAGTTTACATATTTTGTAACAAGAAGCAAAAGTATTATTATTTTCAGTTTGTTTTGTAGGTTATATTTATACTTGCCTTTTAAATTGTCGTTAACAATCTTCTAAAAGTTCTAAATTTAATGAAATTTCACTTATATTAATATTTTCTAATTGATGTAAACACAATTTACAAATAAAACATTCGAATAAAGTTAAAAAAAACAATAAATTCAACAAACTTTACAAGCCTTCCTATATGAAATGTTAAACCAAAACAAACCACAGTCGGACTACCACGCGTTGTTGCCAAATTTCTACTTCATGGCTTGGAAGTAAAGGTGGCTGTGGCTTACCACATCTGCATAGTATAGTATAATATACTCATCACTGTACAACCTGCTTTTCCTTTTATTCTATTCATTTTCGGACGTAGTTCTAACGATCTTTTTAAAAATTTATCCATGTCTTATAAAATAGTTAAGGATGAAAATCAAATGTAATATAAATAACTTGCACCACTTTATTACAGCAGGACAACGCAACGATTTTCATATTTTTCTGCTCATATGAAGTCGAGTTTACAATTCCAGAAAAAGCTAGGCACTAATGTAGCGCCTTCTCTCGGTTATATACGGAGGAAAAACGTAAGAAGAAAGAAATTTTGTAACTAGCTTATAGATGATCCAAGCACATTTTTCTCTATTAAACAACTGTACCAAATCTTAGACGGCGTATTAGATATGTTCTCCTTGATTTGTCAACATTATTAAATATAGAATGAAATGGATAAATATGATAAGACGAGGGGGTCGTCAAATATTTTTTTATGTGCATGGGTGTTACTAATTTAAAAAAGTTTGAGAAACACTTTTCTAAATAATGTGTAGCTCTTCTTCTTCTTCTCGTGCCACTCCTAGCGGAGATTGGAAATCATCATGGTCACTGCGACTTTGTTAGCAGCGCGCCTGGAAAGTTCAATCGAACTACACCCGAACCATTCACGTAGATTACGAAGCCACGATATTTTTCTTCTTCCCACACTTCTTTTGCCCTTAATTTTGCCCTGCATGATGTTTCTTAAAAGTTCGTACTTTTCACCTCTCACAATGTGCCCCAAGTATTCCATCTTTCTAGTTTTTATCTCATTTAGAATTTCGCATCTTTTGTCTAAAGTTTGGAGTACTTGCGTGTTAGTGACGCGGTCCATCCATGATATTCTGAGAATGCGCCTATAGCACCACATCTCGAAAGCTTCGATGTTTTTTATGGTCAACTGTTTTAGTGTCCAAGCCTCAACTCCATATAACAGGGTAGAAAAGACATAACACCGCAGCATTCGTATTCGTAACTTTATATTGATATCACGATTGCAAAAGAGTTTGCGCATTCTATTAAAGACTGATCTAGCGATTTCTATTCTACATCTAATCTCTTTTGTTTGATCAGTATCGTCTGTGATCCAAGCACCTAGATATTTATAACAGGGCACACGCTCAATCGTTGTATTGTCTATTACAAGATTAGCTCTGATGTTCTTTGATTTCGTGATTACCATAAATTTAGTTTTTTTCAAATTAATTTTCAAGCCGTAACTGTTACAGTATATATTGAGACTTTGAACGAGATGTTGTAGTTCTACTAGCGTTCCCGTTAGGAGAACTGTATCGTCAGCATACCTTATATTGTTGATCGTCTCACCATTTATTATCAGACCAAGATCTTCTTCCTCGAGTGCTTGTTCACAGATAGCTTCACTATACAGATTAAATAAAAGTGGCGATAAGATACATCCCTGCCGGACTCCTCGACGGATTTGAATTTCTTCTGTTAGTCTGCCCTCAACCTTGACATTTGCTGTTTGATTCCAATATAGATTGCATATAATTCGAATATCTCGGCTGTCTATATTTTTCTTTATTAAAACTTGTCTTAGTGGTTCATGTTGTACTTTGACAAAGGCCTTTTCGAAATCAATAAAGCAGGCGTAAATTTCTTGGTTCATGTCTAAGCATCTCTGTGAGAGAACGTTCATTGCAAACAGAGCCTCCCTTGTACCCAGCCCTTTTCTGAATCCCATCTGAGTGTTACTGATGTCTACGTCTAATTTCCTATAGATCCTATTATGGATTATTTTTAAGAACAGTTTTAGAGCATGACTCATCAAAGCTATCGTACGATATTCGTTGCATTCCTTTGTATTTGCCTTTTTTGGCAGTAGTATAAAGGTCGAACGGAGCCATTCCCTAGGTATTATTCCAGTTCTATATATTGTGTTAAATAGATCTAGGAGTATTTTAATAGATTCATCGTCCATAAGTTTGAGCAGTTCTACGGGAATTTCATCAGGACCGGGAGCCTTACCACTTTTTGCTTGTTTGATTGCATATTCTATTTCTTCTCTGATTATATCAGGCCCTGTATCATCTGTATATTCGTTTGAGATTTCTTGTCTATCTTTGTCATCAAACAGTTGTGATATGTATTCTGTCCATCGGTTCATTTTTTGTTGTAAATCTGTTATAATTGTACCATCTGTATCTTTGATCTGTCCTGTCTGTGTTGTTCTTCTCCTTCCTGTCATTTCTTTAATCTTTTTGTGTACATTAAAAAAGTCATATTTTCGCTCCAATTGTTCCAACTCATGGCATTGCTCACTTAGCCATCTTTCTCTAGCTTCTCTTATTTTCTTTTTTATCAGTTTATCTGTTTCTTTGTATCTTATCGGATTATTTGTTTTGTGTACCCTTCTTTCACGCATCAACTGTAGTATTTCCTCATTTATCCATTCTTTATGTTTCCTTTCTTTCGGTGTTAAATTTTCTTTCCCTGCCAACATTACGGCATGTTTAATATTCTCCCATTTTTGGTCTATGTTATCAGTATTTCTATTCAGTTTCTCTATATTTTGTAAATTTTCTTTGATGTTCACTATTGTTTTCTCTTTTATATGTTGTTCATTCAGTCTTCTCACGTCAATTTGTTTCTGTATGCGTTTTTTAATGATCTTTAGTTTTATTTTTAATGTGACTACTACAGGATTATGATCCGAGCCTATATCTGCTCCTGGGTAGGTTTTAGCTGAGAGTATAGAGTTGCGGAATCTTTGACTAACAAGGACAAAGTCAATTTGGTTTCTGACTACTCTACCTTTGGTGTCACTCGGAGATTTCCATGTGTACAGTCGTCTGTTAGGTAACTTAAAAAGAGTGTTAGCAACTACTAACTCCTCCGCTTGACAAAATTGTACCATACGGTCTCCTCGTTCGTTTCGTTCTCCTAATCCATAGTCACCCACATAACCGTCCACACATCCATGTCCAATTTTGGCATTAAAATCGCCCATTACTACTGTAGTATGATGTTTCTTCATTGATTTTAGAATTTGTTCCAGATCGTAATAGAAACTTTCAATTTCATCATCATCTTTATCAGCCGTAGGAGCATATACTTGTATAATATTTATAATTTGTTTATTTGACTGAAGTTGTAGTGTCATTATTCTATCAGAGAAGGGAGTAAAGCTTGTTACACAGTTACTGATTTTCTTTGATACCAAGACAGCGACACCGTAACGATGAGTTGAACTGATAGTGCCTGAATAATAAAGTGTTCCACTGTGATTCGTGCATTTTCCTGATCCTGGCCACTGTACATCACTTATACCTAGGACATCAATTTTAAGGTTTTCCATTTCAAGGGCTACATTATTTAATTTACCTGCTGCAAAGAGGCTTCTTACATTCCACGTCGCTATTCTTAATATCTTAAGGTGATTGATATTACTTACACAGGGATTTCGCTGGTTCACGACCCGAGAGGCTCTATGGTCTGTCTGTGGTTTTCCTCTCCTGCCGGATCTTGGGTTCCGAGGTCCATGATCAGTAACATGAGTGATTGATGTGACATTTGCCATCATGATTATACTAGGGAATCTTAAAGATCATTAATACAGTGGTTTCCCGTTGCCTTCTGTATCCTTATGCCGTTGACCATTCCTTGATTCATCCGCCTTCGAGGCAGATTTTTCTATCTCAGGACAAAAGAGTGCCCTGTCACTTACCAACTCATTCGCCCGAAGCCGTTGGTAGGTAAGTGGGGGATTGCTTATACCGGCAATCGCTCGGTGGAATTGTCGCCATATCTGGCTACCCTCACTTAGTTTAGCCTGCAGACCAATGCAGTTGCCCGGGGTGTGGCACGTGGAGCCATAAGTGAGAGTTAGTTGTCTTATGAGGACCAGTTATCAAGAACCATCTCCCGTCTATGACGCTCGATGTGGTCGTTCCGATAAAAGGTACTACCTCTATAACACAACTCTACACCCCTAGCTCTATGTTGGGCGAACTATAGCTATTCCGGTCCACAGACTTTTCTAAAATGTTAATTATCTCCACTTTATCAATATTTATAGTACCTATTACAATTTTTATTAAAAGTAACAATTACTTAAGTACATATATACTTTTTATTTAGTGATAAGTACTTTTCAGGTGTAGCTGGAATGCTATCGAAGACTACAGTAGCCCCTTTGGATAGAGTTAAAATTCTTTTACAAGCACACAATAGGCATCACGAAAGTCACGGAGTTGTTGGAGGTTTACGACACGTCATCAAATCAGAGGGACCATTAGCTCTTTACAAAGGTTGGTACTAAATTTCATCGTTAATAAAATCAAAACTTTTTACCATTTTAGAGAGTGATACAAAAATGTATTACGATGCTGATAAACGCGTTGGTAGAGAATCTGGAAACTTAGATCTTATATATACAACTGAATGAATATACAACTGTTTTCAAATTGGATAGATGTCGAGATGTGTTATAGGTACTGACATGTCTTGTGGTTGACTGTCTCCCGGAAACCTGTTGAGTTTAATATTAATTCTTGTAATAGTATTAATCTTAGCTTTAGGTTATATATATATATATATATATATATATATATATATATATATATATATATATATATATATATATATATATATATATAGGCTATATTTTTTCACTTTTTAGGAAATGGAGCACAAATGGTACGGATTTTTCCGTATGCAGCTATCCAATTTACTTCGTTTGAGCTATACAAAAAATATCTAGATGGAGTGTTTGGAGAAACGTCACATATAGATAAATTTTTAGCTGGTGCAGCAGCTGGCTTGACTTCTGTTTTTTGTACTTATCCCTTAGACACTATAAGAGCTCGATTGGCATTTCAGGTATGTTTGTATATTTGTAATTTTTAATAATGTCTAGTAATGATTTTAATGTTTCAAGGTTTATAGATAATGATATGTCTGATTTCAAAACTTCTGTAGTTTTAAGTTTTGCGGGCTCTACTGGCCTTAGACAATTTAACAATGTTGTTAATCATTTGGGTAGACTGCTAGATTTAGTCTTATCGCATTTCAGTTGTGAAGTGAAGCATGATGACTCACCTTTGGTCTATGAAGACTCTCATCACCCAGCTCTTCTAATAACATTTACGGATATGTTTGTAAAAGAGCCTAAATTTAAGTGTGGTTTGAAGCAATTAACTTACAACTTTAAGAAAGCAAATTTTCCTGCTTTATATCGAGAACTGTATGAAACTGATTGGAATTCTCCGTTCTTGACGTTAATGAGACTTTAAATAACTTTTATAATAAGATTTTTTTTGTGTTTAATAAGTATATTCCAGTTTATAAAAACTTTAGCCATAAATACCCCCCCTGGTTCGATGCTGATATCATTCACAACATCAAATTAAAAGCAAAGTTAAGAAAAAAGTTTAAATGATTCAAAAATCATTGTGATTTGCTTGAGTTTCAACGGTTACGACACCTTGTCAAATCAAAAATCAGTTTGGCATACAATGTATATGTCGAGAATATCCAAATTGCTTTATCCATCAACCCCAAGAAGTTTTGATTGAATGGTAGACAACATTTTAAAATCCATTAAAACGCAAGATGTAACAATTATAATGGGAGACTTTAACGCAAAGGTTGGGGAAGAAAAAGTAGAAGAATGTACAGGAGGATATGGTCTGGGCAAGAGAAACGAAAGGGATGACAGGCTATGGTTTTAAAGATATTAAAAGAGGAAATTTAAATGGCATTAAAAAACAGCAAAAATGGTAAAGCAGTAGGTCCAGACCAAATTCCTATAGAAATATTAAAATGCATAAATGATGAAACCTTAGACATTATAGTAGATCTATTAACTCAGTATACAAAATAAGACACATACCGAATTAATGATTACTTTCCACCTTTTGTGCTATCCCTAGAAATACAAACGCTAAATATTTCAGTGAATACAGAACAATATCACTAATAAGTCACATTCTCAAATTATTCTTGAAAATAATACATGGTCGTATAAATAAAAAACTGGAAGAAGGAATAGATGATGATGATAGTCAGTTTGGGTTCAGAAACGGACTAGGAACCAGAGAAGCGTTATTTGTTTTTAATGTGTTAGCTCAAAGATGCATATTGATGTTGCGTGCATGTTGAATGTTGTTGTGCATGTTTGTCACGTTGATTTTGAAAAAGCATTTGACAAAGTCAGACATGAAAAAATAGATAACTAACCCAGTCCAGAAATTGAAATCAGGAAAGGAGTTAGGCAGGGATGCATTATGTCCCCTTTACTATTTAATGTATATAATGAAGCCATTTTTGAAGAAGCATTACTATCTCAAAGTGAAGGAATAATAATTAATGAAAGATCTATTAACAACATAAGATATGCAGATGACACCGTGATTATGGCAAGCTCTGCTGAATAACTTCAATTACTGCTAAACAAAACAAACAGTTTCTGTGAAAAATATGGACTAAAAAAGAATATAAAAAAGACCAAATACATGATAATAACAAAGAAAACAAATATACCAACAAACATATATTTGGGAAATGTACCGATAGGAAGGGTTGATAAATACAAATACCTAGGAACCTTGATTTCAGACAATAATGATCAAACAACCGTAATAAGAGCCAGGATAGAAATAGCAAGAAATGCGTTTGTAAAAATGAAAACAATTCTCTGCAACAAAGACCTTAGATTAGAACTGAGAGTAAGAGCACTGAGATGCTACGTGTTTTTGATACTATAATCTGGACTTAAAAGCTGGACATTGAAGCAAGAACACATAATTTAAATTAGATTAAATTGGATTAAAATTTTATGGATATCCTTTTGTGAAAAATAAAATTTAATCTTGACTATAAAATCGAAATATCTTTTACAACAGATTCAAAATCAAACTGTCATACGTCAAAACAAACATTTTTAAGACAGGATAAAATTATGACCGATGACAGTTTAAACCACACCCTAACATAATATTTATTTTAATTACAATTTTTTTTTCTTTTTAAATTTATAAAAGAAAGCAAATTTTGTCTTTTTAAAAGAAAATGTCTATTTTTACTTTAAAAATTAATAACGTAAATGTTACCTCAGTTCACACATGTTCACTTAAACTTTTGAACAACTGGCTAATTTCTGTGGGGGTATCTAACTGAACATCATTAACGAAAGCTTTATTGGAGGCTGAAACTGGCACACTGGCACATTCAAATCAAAACTGCTCCAATATCATTCTACGTGAGGTGAAGAGGCATCTTGGAAAGGAACTGGATTTCTCAAAAAAAAAACGAAACGAAAGCAGGAACTAAACTTGTTCATTCTCAAATATTATAAATCTTCAGCAAAATCAAAACAGTGGTTAGTGGTCACTCTTTCAAATACGACATATTACATAGAGTGAAAATTCCACAATTTTTGGCGAATTAATGCCGGGTTACCACATCACAATTAAACGACCTTTCCCTTCGAGCAATTCTTCATCACTCCCTCTCTTGACCTTCTCGGTCTCAACCTGCCGGATAGATACCGCCTCTCTTTTCCCCGCACAAGCATTGCTATCTTGTCAAATTAACAAATTCTTTACTCAAACTCGTCCAAACTTCCGGCGTTATTACGCTTTAGAAAAAAGAATACCAGGCTTGCAATATTTTTCTGGGAACGTTGAAGTTAAAAAGCCATAAATTGTTTTCCTTAGCAAATACGTCTTTATTTATTGAAGAATTATTGCGTATTTAAAAATCTCTACAGACAACACATTTCTAGCATACCAGGGGCGTACTATGACAAATATAGAATCGAATTTATATTATTATTTAGACATTAAATATAAAATGCTACAAAATAAGTTACTTTGAAATGTGGTGTTACAGGAAGATGCTTAGAATAGCATGGACAAAGAAAAAAACTAACACGGAAGTATTGCGAGAAATGGGCAAAGAATGCGAAATAATAAACACAATAAAAATAAGAAAGTTATAATATCTGGGACACGTAATGAGGGGACAGCGATATAAACTGCTAAGGCTGATAATACAGGGAAAAATAAGAGGAGTAAGGACTATAGGAAGAAGGAGAGTATTACGGTTGAAGAATTTAAGGGACTGGTTTAATTGTAGTTCTATAGAACTCTTCAGAGCAGCTGGAGATATAGTAAAGATAGAGATGATGATATTCAACCTCCGATTGGGAGACGGCACTTAAAGAAGAAGATGATTTAAGCTTCCATGAAATAAAGATCATTATGCATAATATCACGGAATAGAGATGACAGCTCAATAAGTTATAATTAATCTTGGAACCGAAAATAGATGAAATATAAAAGCAATTTACTAATTCAAATGCCTAGAATTCTTCATATCTAGAGAATGCTAAATATATTATAATTATCATGTATTTTTTTGGGAATTAACCACAAATATCATTAAAATTATTTTATTGCATCAAATTATACTGTTAGAAAAAAAATCTCTTATTATGTATTATTTTTTTAATTATTTGTTTACATATTTTAATTGCCATTAATGACTATTGTTTTAGTTTTATTTCATTTTAAATGGTAGTTTTTTAAATTGTTTTTTAGAACCATTTTTTTGTATTAATCTCTTTGATTTTATTTATACAGAGATGGATAAAATTATGTAATAAATTCAATTTTCTAGAAGGCAATTTTGTTTTTTATTTGTAACTGTATATTTATTTTATGATATCTATATAATGCTTTTTTATATAATGCAGTAATTACAGCATAATTAATGAATTTTTTTTATTTTAAGGTCAGTGGCGAGCACGTGTATACCGGCATAGCGCACGCAGCTACTACCATTTTTAAAGAAGAAGGTGGCGCTCGAGCGCTATACCGGGGATTCACACCTACTCTTATGGGTATGGTGCCTTATGCCGGTCTCTCGTTTTATATTTTTGAGTACATCAAGTATGGGTTTATGAAATATTTACCACACTTGGCGTGTAATCCTTGCGAAAAGAATACCGGAGGATTAGTCCTAACCGTACCTGCCAAACTTCTATCTGGTGGCTTAGCAGGAGCAGTCGCCCAAAGTGTTAGCTATCCTTTAGATGTAACAAGAAGGTAAAATAAGATTTTATTATCAGGTTCAATATATAATTATACCCTAACTAGTGATTTTGCGTCAAAGACAGCGACAAATGGAAAAATCTTAGGGAGACCTATGTCCAGCAGTGGATGCATACAGGTTGATGTTGATGATGATGATGAAGAGAGATTTTGTCCGTCACCATGCGACGGGATATCCAATCAATTGCCATCTACAGTCACTTCACTCAATTTTTTCTGGCTTCCTTACATCATATTCTTTGATTTCAATAAATCTCCATCTCCGGATCCATTTCTCTCACCTTCTCGTTTTTTATGATCTTTTCCTTCTCTGCCGCATCTTGGTTTCCGGATTACGTGATCAGTAACGGTTTGACTTTTTTGCGTATTTATCATGAATGGTTAGTGATGTTCTGTTGAACCTTTAATGCAGTGATTTCCTCTTGCCTTCTGAATTCTTCTGTCGTTGACCAATTTATTGGTTTTTCCGCCTTTGGAGTCGATTTCTCAGCTCCAAGACAAAAGATTGTCCTACTACCTACCGACTCATCCGCCCGAAATCAGGGGATTGCTTATACCGCCAATCACTCAGTCCCTATCTGCGTTAACCATCAACATTGATGTTGCCCACCTTCTACCACTTGGAGGTGCAGATTCAGATGTTTTCTTCATCGAGAAAGACCTTTCGGCATTTTCTAATCTCTCCAGAGCTTTAAAAAGCATAACATTAGTATTATTAATTAAATGTATAATTTCAACAACAAAATATTATTGAAATATTCAAGTCAGATGTTTTTTTATAGTCTTTTTATAGTTATAGATTTTCTAGCCTTTGATATAGATAGATATTCGAATGTAGTAGTAAATTTAATATTACTTACAGTAGGTTTCAGGTCTAATATGATCAGTTAAGTTTAGTTAATTTTTGTGATCAACCCAAAGTTCTCGAATTTTGAAACCATAAACTTAGTCTTCTTGCTGGTCCTCTTTTGGCGTTACCTTTTCCTTGTAAAACCAACTGAAGCAGTTCGTATCTTGGTTCTCAAAATATCGAAAGGTAATTTGAGATATTTAATAAAACAAATATTTTTTTTTGAACCTATTCTCTATCCTTCCATTGTTGGATATAGGTCTCCCCCAGTTCTCTCCATTTTCTCTCCTCTTTCCCTATCTTGAGCTGTTCTCTGCCATGTGGGACCTCCTTGTTTCCTGATGTCATCTTTCCACCTCATCTGTGGTCTGCCTCTTGATCTCTTTGCATTGTATGGACGCCACTTTCCGATGGCATTGTTCCATCGTCCGTCTTGGAGACGTCCATTGTGTCCAGCCCATTTCCATTTCGGTTTTTCTGCTTGTTCTATCGCGTCTACTGTCTTTGTTCTGGTTCTGATCCACTGGTTACGTTTTCTATCTCTATCTCTTTATGCCTTCCTTATCCTATCCAAATTGGCCTGTGTAAATGTCCATGTCTGTGCTCCGTAGGTGAGCACCGGTATTATACAGGAGTTATATGCCTTGCTTCGTAAGTATAGAGGGATTGTTTGATTTGTTAGAACGTAAAAAAGTTTGCCGAACGCTGCCCATCCCATTATTACTCGTCTCGATATTTCGGCTGTTTGATTTTCTCTGTTAGCTCTGATTGCTTGTCCTAGATAGATATACTCATTTACCTGTTCTATTTTTTCTGTTTTTATTTTTATTGCCTCTTGGTCTTCCGTGTTTGTCATTACTTTTGTTTTGTTGAAGTTAATTTTTAGGCCTTTTTGCAGTGATTGTTCATGAAGTTCATTCAGCATTAATTCCAGTTCTTGTCGTCCCGAGGAGATCAGGAGTATATCATCCGCATATCTAAGGTGATTTAGGTATTTTCCGTTAATACATATTCCTCTGTTTTCCCAATCTGTTGATTTTATTATGTCTTCGAGGGTCAAGGTAAACAGTTTAGGTGAAATTATATCGCCTTGTCGGACTCCTCGTTTAACTTTTATATTATCCGTTATTAATTTGTCGTCCAGAATTACGGTCACGGTTGCGTTTTGGTAAATATCATGTATTAATTGTCGGTATCTTGAATCTATTCTACTATTGACCAGAGCTTCTTTAACCGCCCAGTGTTCAATGCTGTCGAAAGCCTTTTCATAATCTACGAATGCTAAGTACAGCGGAAGGTTGTATTCATTGGTTTTCTCAATTAAGATTTTAAGCGCATGTAGATGGTCGATTGTGCTGTATCCTTTCCCGAATCCGGCCTGTTCCACTGGTTGGTAGTTATCAAGTTTATAGGTTAGTCGGTTGTTTATTATTCTTGTGAAGGTTTTATATACTTGTGACAAAAGGGAAATAGGACGGTAGTTGTTTAGGTCTGTTCGGTCTCCTTTCTTATGTATTAAGATTGTGTTGGCATTTCTCCATTGTTTAGCTATTTTACCTTCAAACAGACATTTGTTGAACAGTATTTTTAGCATTTTTTTATCGTGTCTTATCGATATCTTTTTGTGATTTTTACTGTTTCTCCTAGATCTCTTTCTTCATTGTTCTCAGCTTTAAGCATGATTAGTTTTGTTTTTCCTATATTTGTCTTCATTATTTTTAAACTTTTGTTCTTCTCTATGATTTTCTTAATGCGATCTTGTTGGTATTTCTTTAAATCTTCCTTTATCTGTTTTCTTATGGTTTTGTTCAGTTCGGTAAACTCCACTGTATTTCTTTTGTTATTATTCAGTAGTTGTCGTCGTTTTTTTAGCATATCTTGTGATTTAGCGCTAATTTTTTGTTGTTTTCGCTTTTGTTTATTAGCAATCTTCAGGCTTGCTTCTAGTAGTTCTGTTGTTATTTTATCGTTTAATTCGACTAGTTGCAAACCCTTTATAACAAAGATTATAATGAATATATTGTCAATTAAAATTTTGGGTAAATCCTATTAAATATAGTACATAGTTCGTATTTATATTTTAGACGCATGCAGCTAGCTATGATGAACCCTGAAACACATCATTACGGCCAGAGTATGTTTACTACCCTCTACAAAATTTACACGGACCATGGAGTGATTAAAGGACTTTACAGGGGAATGTCGATCAATTATATGAGAGCAATACCAATGGTTGCAGTTTCTTTCTCGACTTACGAACTATGCAAACAACTACTTAATCTAGATACAGGTTTAAAAGTCAGCGTTGGATAAAGATATTAATTCGAATTAAGTCATCTTCATCTTCGTTGTAGATTAAATGGTTGTTAACAAAATTAAAACCAAGATTTAAGTTAAATCTTTTTATAAAAGCATTGTTTCACATATTTACTTAAAAAGGTTTTTAAATGATAGTGTGACATGACAGTATAATTAATACTACATTTTACTCTCTAGTTTCAATGTTATGCTTATGAAAAGAAAAACAGTTCTATAAATTATTTATACAAATTCAAATATCACTTCTATGATAACTGATAACCATTTAAAGTCCACCATATCCATACAACTTTTGCTTTTATATGATAACTTTTACTATTATTTTTTTTTAATTACATGCTCTTCGATATGACAAACATCATTTGTCAGTACTAGATTTTCCCTTTCTTTTCCATTTGAATTTGAAAAGATAAATTTTGTACATAAACTGAAAAAAATATAATTAAAAAACTAATTAATAATAATTGTCAATTTCGTATGTATTTAACATATGTTTAACCTCAAATTGGGAGGTCCAAAACTGTCAGATGAAGACGGTAGGTGTCGCGTCAGTCACGCATGGAGCGAATATCAAATCGGGGACTTTGTTCTGCTCTGTCATCCCACAATAAGCCTCTAAACTATTTCATGGTTTTAATCAGTTATTATTGGCAGATGTTTGAGTTTCTTCAGGCAACATAAGAATGATTTATAAGTTTGGACGTATGTAGTAATTAGCTGATCTAAAATATTTTACTCCAAACAATATAATCGCTTGTACTGTTATTCTTTTGGCGAAATAATTATTATAAAGTTCACATGCATACTGTATAACTGTAAAACACTTTATGTATTTATATGTAAACCAAATTTTTATTGAAACTTGATATTAGATGCCTTATCTTTTATGTAGTAGATAGTTTTGTTATGTTTAGAACTATTTTTATATGGCAAATTGATGAACGTGAATTCTAGTCTATTGGTAATACCTATTTAACCCTTTAATGGCCTTAAGTAATTAAGAATTTTACTATTCTGTTTACGTCAGTTTCTCTTTTTCCAAAAAATATTTAGTGTGCAAAATATTTTGTCGATTTCATAACTCTCTTTGATTGAAAATCAAGAAATATTAGTTAAATTTTTTAACTAAAAATATTGGAGGATCTATCTAACTAGGGGAAAGGCGTGTACCTTGGGACAAAATTTGTTTTTAATTTTTTCCTTCATCTGAAACTGAAATGTATTTGATCCAGGTAAAAGAAGGTAGATTTAGGCACTAAACTGATAATAAAAATATCGATAATAACCAACGAGTAAATCAGTACTTACCATATAAGTGTACAGTGATATTAGTCCCAAGGTTCAACCTGTGGGACAATGTTGATTGTACATTGGGACATGAAGTTACTATATTTATATAAATAAAACAAATATTGAAATACCTTTTTTGATGATAAAAAAACAATAAAACTATTTTTTGTCTTTTTATATAATTTAAAAGAAATATTTTGTGGAAAGGCAATGTTGAAAGAATGAAAACCGCTTCATATTTTGGACACAATTTCACTATGTTTAAATGCTTCACGACGGCAATATCTTCAACATCTGGGAAGACAAAATAAACATTGCGTTTTCGGAGTAACTTCACAGTAACTTCTTGGTTTATGCTTCCTTGAACCAAACCAGCATAGTAAACATCAGTGGATGTAGCTTTTCCAGTGATTTCAAATTTTATTACAACCCTGGCGCCAATGATAAAATTTAGTGCAACTTTGTCTGGTTGAAAGAAATCAGGAACGTCTTCATCTTCGGATCTTGAATAAAATCTGCTTCCATCGGAGATGTCGTTAAGCTTGAGCTCGTCTTCATCTTCAGACGAAGAATAAGATACAACTAGTGCTTTTTTGACAGCCTCTTTTTTCCTTGGGACTGGCTTACATATTTTAATTTTCTGCTCCTTGATTTTCTGCCACTCCTTTTGACCTCCTTACTCTTCCACCAGTCTTACTCTTCAAAAATGTTCGAATTTGTTTAGAGGTCATTCCAGTAGTTTAGCATTTAGCGCACTGCTTGTTGATGGTATGGCAGAACTTATGTAAGTTCATCAACTTACATAAGTACTGTCTCCTCAATTTTAGTTTGTTCTGGAGATTTATATGGCCTTTTGGTAACCTCAGCTGGTAAGAACTCTTGGTCTCCAAATACATTTGCATTAAATGGCCATATACCTGTTACTTTAAAACCTGACCAAATGTTATTTAGGGTCAACGCCAATGGGAATGTTCTTTTTATCAATTCTGACATGTCGTAAATAGATATAGGCCTTCCCGGATGGTTCAGCATCCAATTTTTGCTAGCATTATTGAAATAATTTTTAAATGGCCCAAAAACAGACCAATCCATCGGTTGAAATTTGTGACTGGTATGCGGAGAAAAAGTTAAATTACTATTCCATATCCCTAGCTATATGTATAGCAGACAATGAGAGATTGCTTTCGTGGGTGTCGAGGATAAGCAGCACTTTATTTTCAGGAGATGGCTTTACAACTAAAATAAAAGGTTGAAGATAACAATTTAGCATTTTACCAACCACTAGCATTGCCATACTAATAGTTTCAGGTGGTGCGTTGTGGATCATGTGCTCTTTGAAGTGAACACGTGGATACCTGGTGGAATAAATGCAATGCTAACGCAGGCTATCATAGTAACATTAATACCTCTCTCGTCAGAAGTAGCTGCTTCGATTTGCTTAGCTTTTATAACACCAAGCACACGAGCTGGCTAGTGAACAGTAGGGCAGCCGGTCTCATCGAGATTCCACACATTCTGAGGTGTTAACTTTAATCTCGAATAAATTTCTCTCAATTTATCAAAAAATATTAAAACGATTGGCTTATTGAAACATGCCATTCCACCTAAGCTTGTGGCTTCAGGCTTCAGAAGAGATATTTTGTTGTTATAAGAAACTCTTAAATCATTGGTACCATTGTCTACCAGCAGTTTTATTATTATCCCATGATTCAGGGCAGTTCACATTGTTGAACGCTAGTTTTCACATTTCTTCAACACTGACGCCATAGTTCTACTGTGCAGCTTTTATAATATATGTGAGCAGTTTGTTTTCTTGTTCAGTACTGAAAACTTTGCGTGTTGAATTATTCGCTTCATACTTGAAAGTCACTTTCATAGACACTTTAGATTTTTGAATATGCCTAGCAAGAGTACTTTTTGAAACACCATACAGAATAGCGATTTCTCTCAAAAACGACTAAGCGCCAGTATCTCATTGGCAGCTGCTTCTAATGCTTCTGCATCTGGTTTCGCCCTTTTTTTTTCCTGTAGCACTGCTTCCCATCTGCAATAATACGATTAACATTAACGCACTGGAGAAAAGTATGTGGTTGTATATATATAGTCCCAAGATTCCTAAGAGGAACATAGGGCTTCCACAAAGTGTCTCCAGCGAACTCTATTTCTGGCTAGTGCTTTGATTTCAAGCTAGGATTTTCCCATTTTTCTCCCTTCGTCCAGTACTGTCCTTCTCCAAGTTCCCTTAGGTCTGCCTACTTTCCGTCGGCCTTGGTGATTCCAATCCAGCGCTGTCCTGGCAATGTCATTTGGCGGTCTACGGAGTGTGTGGCACAGCCAACTCCATTTTCTTCGCCTTATTTGCTTTATGACATTTTTTTGGTTGCTTTGGTTCCATAAATTTTCATTGGAGATTCGGTTAGGCCAAAATATATGAAGGATTTTTCGTAACGCTCTATTGATGAAAACTTGTAATTGGTGTACTATGGGTGCTGATATCTTCCACGTTTCGCAGCCATACAGTTATACAGCTTTTACATTTGTGTTGAAGATTTTTAATTTCGTTTTAGTTGGGTAAATCCTGGATTTCCATATGTTGTTAAGCATGTTGTAGGCGTTGCGAGCCTTATTTATTCTTTCATGTACATCACGCTCTGTACCCCCATTACAGTCAATTATGCTGCCCAGATATACAAATTCCGCTACTCTCTCAATTTTCTGGTCGTTGATCATAATAGGTTGGTTGTTTCTGGTACCAAATCGCATTTCTTTGGTTTTGTTGATGTTTTTTTCTAGACCAACCTTCTTTGATTCTTCTTGTACTTTGTTTACTTGGAGTTGCATGTCCTGTTTTGTATGTGCTAGGAGGCATATATCATCAGCGTAATCTAGGTCTTCCAGTCTGTTTGTTAATCCCCAGTAAATTCCTCTATTAGAGTTTACCTTTGTTAGTACGGAGTCCAGTACAATGTTAAATAGTATGGGGATAAAACACAGCCCTGCTTTACTCCGTTCAGCATAGCTACTGGGTCAGATGTTATGCCGTTGTGTAGGATTTTGCTTTCTGTGTCACTGTAGAGTTCTTTGATGAGATTTACTATTTTTTCTGGTATTCCTATTTCCTGCAGTGCTTTCCATATGGCCGTATGTGTGAGCGTGTCAAAAGCTCTCTTGTAGTCCACAAAGCACACCAAGAGAGGAGAGTTGTATTCCTGTGACTGTTCTACAATTATTCTTAGTGTGTTAATTTGGTCCACGCATGATCTGTTTGGTCTGAAACCAGCTTGTTCCTTCCTCAACATTGGTTCTACACTGTTTGTTAGTCGGTTTCTACGACTTCTACAATTTCCTACGTACAATCATAACAACGTCCCAAGGTACAACCAAGTACATGTTTTACTAAATCTAACCTCATCAGTTTAAAGTACAGTTTTTTCTCATAATATATAGTTTAAAGTGAGCATTAAATATATAACGACGAAATATGCCGAAAAAATTCAACTAATAGTACTTACCGTGCTTTTCTTATTAATTTAAAAAGATGGATAAAATTTACTTGACAGACAACAAAACGTTTTTACACGTATTAGTTACATCAAATGGCAGAAACGCGAATGTTTGACGTAAGTGGAGACGGTGTTGCCATTATATTACAAATTTCTCAGATTTCACGCTACAACGGTTACTTTTTTACAATGATTGTCCCA